TCTGATTTTTCTTCTTCTCCATCCTCGTTTTGCTCCGTCTTCCTATGTGACTATCTCCATACATAGTACTTCGCCCTCGGCCTTTGCGCATCTATAGTCCGCTTCCTAACCCACTCTCTCTCAACCTCGAACCCACTTCCTCACTAATACACTGCTTCTTCATCTGAACCGATCTTTCGCCTTCCCCCCATCCCTCTCATATATCTCTGGATCTTCAGACAACGCCCAGACAAATTCATTGTTCATAAGACGAAGGGACCACCCAACTTGTCCGATCGCGTATCTAGCATCTCCAGTCATACCCCTCCTGCGGATACATCCACGAGCACTTCCTGCAATTGTCTCCGATCTAGAGCTCCCCCGAATCTGACTGGCGCTTACATTGCATCGGGAGACGGCCCTACATCATATCACCGACCCTTTATTCCACATTACACTAGATTGACGTAGCTAGCTCGGCGCGCCGCCTTCACAATAGCTCCAAGCTACCTGTCAGCACAACGCACCGTTGCATGAGCTCTTTGCTCCCATTCTCCGCGCCCAAGAAAAGTCTCTAGCCATTGGCGTTATATACATACTGCCCAATCTGTCGCGAGACACCCTGATCCGTTCTTCACTTTGTTGAACCATCTACAGCCAGCATCAGCATCTCAAAACAAAACCCAAATCAACACCCAGCCCGCACATAGCGACCTCGTCCAACAATGGCAATGGACGAAGTCGACCGCGAAATCGCGGACGCCGAGCGCGCCGCCTCTCCAAACCGCTACCACGGCCGCGAAAGCCACGAGATCGAACGGGTCCTCTCCGCCTCCTCTTCCTCAACCTCCTCATCCACGGCCTCGCACACGGGCGACCGCACCGCCGCGTATCGCACCGGCACCGGCATCAGCCGCGTCTCGACCCAAAATGACCTCGAGCGTCACCCGACGGCCCTGAGCCGCATTGCCACTGCCCGCAGCCAGCACTCCAACACTGTCGGCCGCAGCATCAAGAGCAGGGAGTCGAGGAGGCCTCTGCCGGCCATGGGCGCAGGCAAGCCGTACCCGCCACCTTTGCCGGAGCAGGAGGACTACGTTGTGGAATTTGATGGCCCTGAAGATCCTCTGCACGCGCAGAACTGGCCGATTAAGAAGAAGTAAGTTCGCCAATGCCAATTGTCGAGTTTCGGTGAAATATGGCTAGGGGGCGCTGGTGACTGACATGTCTTGGCTCGCAGGTTGCTTACAGCCGCAATGCTTGGCTACACCACGATGACGTCGGCTTTCACCTCGAGTATCTTTTCAGCAGCGACGCAAGTCATCGCGACAGAATACAACGTCTCCGCGACTGTCGGCACCCTCGGCGTCTCCTTTTACGTCCTTGGCTTCGCCTTCGGCCCAACACTCTGGGCGCCCCTTTCCGAGCTGAGGGGCCGCCGACTACCCCTCGTCCTCTCCATGTTTGGCTTCTCCATCTTCACAATCAGCTGCGCCGTCGCCAAGGACCTCCAGACCATCTTGATATGCCGCTTCTTCGCCGGCTTTTTCGGCGCGTGCCCCCTGGCCGTCGTCGCCGCTGTCTTCTCCGACATGTTTGACAACCGCACCCGCGGCACCGCCATCACCGTCTTCTCCATGGCCGTCTTCACCGGCCCACTTCTGGCGCCCTTTATCGGCGGCTTCATCGTCGAGTCGCACCTCGGCTGGCGCTGGACCGAGTACATCCCCTCCTTCATGGGCTTCCTCGCCTTCTTCCTCGACCTCTTCTTCCTCGAGGAGACGTACCCGCCCGTCATCCTCGTCAGCAAGGCCTCGGAGCTGCGCCGCCGCACCCGCAACTGGGGCATCCACGCCAAGCAGGAGGAAATCGAAATCGACTTTAAGGAACTCGTCAACAAGAACTTTTCCCGCCCGATGCGCCTCCTCTTTGGCGAGCCCATCGTCACCGCCTTGTCCGTCTACATGGCCTTCATCTACGGCCTGCTCTACCTCTTCCTCACCGCCTACCCCTTCGTCTTCCGCGGCGTTCACGGCTTCGGCGCGGGCCAGTCGGGTCTCACCTTCTTCGGCATGATCACTGGCCAGCTCATCGCCGGCGTCACCGTTCTCCTCCAGCAGCCGTGGTACCTCCGCAAGCTCAAGGCCAACAACGGCGTGCCCATCCCCGAGTGGCGTCTCCCCAGCGTCATCGCCGGCGGCGTCTTCTTCGCCATCGGCATCTTCTGGTTCGGCTGGTCCGGCTACCGCGCCGACGTCCACTGGATCGTGCCCACCCTCAGCGGCCTCTTCACCGGCTTCGGCCTCATGTCCATCTTCCTCCAGGCCCTCAACTACCTCGTCGACGCCTACCTCATGTTTGCCGCCTCCGCCATCGCCGGCAACACCTTCCTCCGCTCCCTCTGCGGCGCCGGCTTCCCGCTGTTCGCGAGCTACATGTTCAACGGCATGGGCATCCAGTGGGCCTCGACCTTGCTGGGCTGCGTCGCCATCGCCCTCGTGCCAATCCCCGTCATCTTCTACATTTGGGGCCACAAGATCCGCGCCAAGTCCGCGTACGCCCCGACTTTCGCCGCGCCCGCCGACGAGCCTGATGAGGAGGACCTGGCGCCTGCGCCGCTGAGCAATGGACACACCAGCCACCACCAGGACAACGAGAAGCCGCCGTCCATTGCCGCGATGGAAGCGAGCAGAGCTAGGACGAGCGGCGACAAGGCTGAAAATGCTGTGTGAAAAGTCATCTCAGACGCTTACCATCCGAATCTACCCCAGCATATTGCGATTCTACCACGCACTTTTATCCTCGTATATATAAAGACACGAATCTGTCTTGTTTCATGTGGTCTTTGAAATTTGATGATACCATGGAGGCGGGGAAAAATTTGAGCCGGGGTTTTTCATCTCTTGTTTAAAGATGTTTATGACGAGCATCGTTCATCTGATACCACAAAATCTTTTTTGCCTTACGCAAACCTTACCGTAGCCTTTTACGATTAATCACACCCCCCAATCAACAACTTAATACAACAAAAATTGAACAACCTCAGTATTCTCAAGTTATGCGGCCCCCACAAGGTGCTCTGTGCTGCTCTTCTCTGTGATACAAACATACTTGCAAAAAAACCTCACTAATCCTCACCATTCTTCTCGCCAATTAAAAGCACGTCAATGATATTTCAGACTTTATGGTGACCACATTATGCCAAGACCCCGCAAATCGGCATCTCAGCCCAGGTCCCATGTGGTGGCGTCCGTACCTTAGTGTCGGGACCCTTGCCCGCATCTTTTGGATCCCCCATTCGCAAGGCGCACGTCGCGGTGACATGGCCCGATGCGGCAGGTCGAACGATGCCGGACGATGGATCCCGTTGCCCGTCTATTTCTGTACCCGTCCACCTATCCATACCAATCTATATTGACAACTCGACGTACAGAAGAGCTGAAGTTTGGTGCAATTAGATACTGCCTGTACATGGTGAAGTTCACGGGGTGCGGCCCCAGTTCGCTCCGTGTGAAGTGGCTACCTCTCCCTCAGCCAAGCCTGTGATCTTACAGGCTGGGTCTAACGCTACGGGAGAGTAATGCTTACACTCAAACGGAATGGGAAATGAAAAGAGTGAGGGGAAATATGTGGCTGTGTTTTTGATAAGCTGGGTTCAGGTAGCTCTTACACTTGTTGTTAACGGATCCTTCTACGACCCCTCCTCTCCGTGTCTTATGGCTCGAGTTTATTAGTAATTTCACGTCTATATAGACCTCTCTCCTTCATTGAGCCTTTAGGGTAGTTTCATTCTATCTCTAGGAACCTCCCAATCTTGCCCCTGTAAGCCACTTTCTGAAGTTCCCTCTTCAGAGCCCACTGTCGACATACTCAAGTCAGGTAAGCGAGTCCTGAACCACTTGTGAGCTGGTTAAGTAAGCAGCGTCATGTCACCATCACCACCACCACCACCACTCACACCTCACTCTTCACTCACACTCAATGTCGCACCACGTCTAACACAATAGCAAAGGCCAAATCTAACCAAAGATCCTAAACTCATTCCAACTCTCATTCAGACTCATCGGCCCCAAAACTCGAAATCATAACAGTCAGAGCCATCTCGGGAATAAGAACAATGTCGTCAGAAGAAGCCCCCAAGCCGTCAAAGACGTACGACGCAAGCTGCCACTGCGGTGCCATCAAGTTCTCTCTCACGCTCTCGCCGCCGCTGGAGGACGGGTACAAGGTCCTCAACTGCAACTGCTCCATCTGCCGGCGTAGCGGGTACCTCCTCATCTGTGAGTTATCCTTCACTCTCACACCCACTCCATCTCAAGATTAGAGTCCAGGATATCATTACCTCAAACACCCTCCCTACGACGCCTCATACCCAATCATGGAGGTATCTTTGGGGTCATAATACATGAACGCATAAGGCTATGACTGACACTCTGTGACTTTGAAAAAAACAAGACCCAAATAAGAAGGACGTCACATGGCACAACGGCTCGCGCGAAAAGTGCACGAATTACCGGTTCAACACCAAGACCAAGGACCAGATGTTTTGTGGTGCCTGCGGATCGAGTTTGGGGATTGACTTTCTGGAGGAGGACTATTATGGCATCAGTGTACGAGATTTCCCCTCTTTGTCCTACTCCGCCTCCCTCCTTCCCTCTTACACTGTTCCCTGTGGTAGGAAAGCTAATCGGAAGAGGTAGGCGCGTGCCCTCGACGGAGTCGACCTCGATGCTCTGACGTATAAGAAACTCGACGGGCTGAACAGGGTATCGCCCGCCCAGGACCTGTCCGGCTCGGGAGACAAGGAGGCAAGCACTTGAGTGACTCGAGGTTGATCAAATTCAAGATATGCTCTTTTGAAATTATAGTATTGTTTTATTCATAATTGTCCTGAGACTTTAAACGTGTTTATATGTCCCGCCTCTTGTTGGCATTACAGAGAAAACCACACTCGGTGCCGGCACCGCAGGAATTTCCATGGATATTTGTGCAGGAAAACATAAAAATCAACAAACATAGATCTAGATCAGACTCCCGTTCTTCTCGCTCATCCCCCGCTCTTGCCTGCCGATAAACGTCTGCATGGAAGTATCCACACGCGCAACCTTTCTCGCAATCTGCTGGACGGCGACGGGGAGTACGTTGTACCAGTGAATCCACCTCGCGTACAGCGGCATCGCGACGTGCGCGCTCTTGCCGGCGTCGATGGCGGCAATGACCTCCTTGCAGACGTCGACGGGCTCGACGACGGGCGCGACAAAGGCGTGCGGGGTCTGCACGCCGTAGAAGAGGGGGGTCGACAGCTGGCCCGGCTCGACGAGGATGGTGCGGATCTCCGGGTGGGAGGCGGCGAGCTCGGCGGTCAGTGACTTGTGCAGGGCCGTGACGCCGGCCTTGGCGGCGGCGTAGTCTGTCAGGGAGGCGGCGCCGAGGTGGCCGAGGACCGAGGACATTGTGACGATGGTGCCGCCGTTGCCGCCGCGGATCATGGGCGGGAGGAAGGTCTTTAGGGTGTAGAAGTGTGCGGTCAGGTTCGTGGTGATGGACTTTTCAATCTCCTCGAACTCGAGGTCGAGGAGGGACTTGCCCTTAACGATGGCGGCGTTGTTGATAAGGACGGTTGGGGTGCCGAGCTGGAGGAGGGTTAGTCTTTCTGTGTCTGTAATGGCGCATTTCGGCCTTGTACGCGGTTGGTAAACTCACATCTCTCTCAATCTGCGCCGCAACCCTCGCAACTTGCGCCTTGTCTGTCACATCGCACTTGTAGAAGGTCACGCCCCGCGCTTCGCCGTTCTCCATGTCATTTACGTCCAACACCGCCACGGTCGCGCCGCGCATGCCGTACACCTCGGCAATGAGGAGACCCAGGCCGCTGGCGCCACCCGTGATGACGATTACCTCCTCGGTGAGATCGACCTCGCGCGGCAGGCCGTAGGCGATGCGCAGGTTGACCGCTTGCGCGATCCAGCAGACGGTGATGAAGCATGCCCAGGCGATGGACACGAGCATGGGCGGGGCATCCCAGCGGAGGGCTTGGGCGCGGAAGCAGAGGGGGATGATCCACGAGACGAAGGGGTGAAAGAAGGTGATTTTGAAGACCTTGACGAGGAGGTCGAGGGAGAGCGGCGCGAACCACGAGTCGCTTTGGGGTGGGCGTGGGTATTCCATCGCGGACGTCTGGGGGAGGATGGCTGGTGGTAACGGTCGTGGTGGTGGTGGTGCGAGGGGTCGAGCAGTGTAGGAGCTCTATGTCGTTTCGAGAGTTCGATTATTAAGAGAGATTGTATAGGGGTCGCACTCTGTACAGATTCGGAAAATTAGGATGAGAGTATGAAAAGAAGAGATTCGGAAAAAAGCGAAGATGTGTCGTCCAGCGTTGGAAGTGGAAAAAACGCACAAAGATGAGACGAAGAAGCGCACAGCCAAACCTCAATTGGGCCACCAAGGGAGCTTGACGCTCTGGCGGGAACTCGTCACATGTGGATGGATCTGAGGCGTTGAAACGGTGGCCAAGCGTCCTAGGGGCCCCTCCCTGGTGGCAGCTTCCCCTGGAAACCCTTGGTGGGACGACCACTAAAACACCCCGGAGCCCCTGGCAGCCGCCCATCTTCCACGGCCAGACGAGCCGAGACCCCGCTCCCGTCAGCGCCGCCGTCAAGCTGTCTTAAGCTTATCCGAGCCCGGCGGACATGTCGGTCAACCGAGAGGGCGCGGAGGGGAGGCCAGGGACGCAAGTTTGCATGCTTCAGCACGTACCTAATCATGATCAAATGAACGGAATTAATAAGTCTACTTCATGATTATATTTCATGATCATTGCTACATTCTTTTGACCAAACGAGTTGATCCGTGGTATAACCCTATCTAAGTTGCACTTTTCACACGACTATTCCCCCTTTTCCTTTTTACATGGACATAACAAGCCGCCCCAACGCCGAACAATGCAAAGAAATAACGCCAAAAGTGGCAAGCCCAGAATGCGCCTACTTCTCCCGGGCCAAGATCTGCTTTTCTCTCTCGCCCTTCCGCCTCTCGAACTGCTTCTTGGTGTGCCTGCGCTCGTTCTCCTCGCGCCTCTTGATTGACGAGAGCTCAATGTTCTTGATCTCGCCCGCCTTCTTGATAACCTTGGGCAGGTGACGGTGCTTCTTGATACGTCTGACCTCCGGCATGTGGCTATATCGCTCAACCAGGGCCTCATTGTACTCGAGCGCCTGTCTCTGCTTGGCGGATCGGATGCCTGATCTGTCCGTGGCGTTGCTTCTCCAGACACGGACGTTACCGTCGTCGGAACCACTGAGAACATACTTCGAATCGGGGGAGAACATGGTGCTGAACACCCTCTGCATGCGCTTGGTGTGGTACATGTCGCGGGAGTGTCCTTGATCGCGGTTCCAGATGCGCACTGTTCGGTCGTAAGATCCGGAAACCAATTCTTCACCTGTCGGGCTAAACTCGACGCTCATGACGGCGGCAACGTGGCCCTTGAAGACGTTGAGCGCTCTGTCCATCTTGCGCATGTCGAACATCTGATTCTCGTTAACTGTATGTTCAGGGGTAGACTAGCTTTGAGATGACTTACGTAGCAGTTATGGTCTTCGCTACCAACGACAAAGTTGAAGGCTTCCATCGGGTTCCAGGCGAGAGAGTTGCAGGTAAACGTCATCGTCGTCTTGGTCAAGGGCATCGCAGTACGGACGTCCCAGAGGACGATACTCCTGTCGTCGCCTGTACTTCCTAGAACGGATTGCTCGACCTGGTTAAAGGAAACACAGTTGATAGAGTCGGTCGCGTTCGGCCAGCGCAGCACCTCGGGCGCCGCACTCTGTCGCTCGAGGTCGTAAATAGCGATCTCACTGGAGGAAGACGAGGCTGCAAAGGCGTTTCGCGTTCGGTGGTGGGACAAGCTGAGGAAACCATTCGTACCCAGCCATGAGGAGATCGGCGGAGAATCGCCAGGCGTGTTGTAGGGATCCCAGAGTTTGATGGTCTTGTCCGCCGCAGCACTCAGAAGCTTTCCGTCCTTCGTCCAGCAGAGACTTCGTACGATGTTGGAATGGGCGCTCTTCGTCTGCCAAATCTCGGCTCGGCTCGTCAGGTCGAAAGCTTTGATCACACCGTCGGCACTGGCCGATGCCATGTGCTTGAGAGAGTTCGGATCTTTGGCCATCGAGTAAACCTGGTTCAGTTGTTAGAAATCGGGGACAATAGGCGTTCTGCTTTTCGTTTTGGACGTACTCCTTCGACATGGCCGCTGCCCATCTGTCCGATGAAAGGTGCGGCATGCATGCGCTCGAGCTTGACAGCGTTCAGGGCTTTGGTGTACCTGTATTCCTTCGTCAGCTTGGATCGCAGCATGTGGCGAAGCCTACTTACTCTCTGGCGCGCTCCATAGGGTGCTGGGCGGGATCGAGGTTGCTGCATTGCGATTAGCCAAGGTCTGCGGATGCCACTGGCCTATAATTACCGAGGAAGCTTTTGCGCGTTTGCGCCTGGAGGCTGGTAGGCCTCCACGCTCCGAGAAATGGCCTTGATCTTCATGTTGGCGGGCGCGATGCTATGTCTTGCTTGACCATAGAATCCTCGATGGCTCTGAAAGTCTCACAGAACTTCTCTCCCAAAAATTTAAGTGGGGGTGGGGACTTATCGGAGGATAATTGCCAATCAGATAAGGTAGCGGATCAATCTCGGTCCGTGTGGCCCCTGCCCTTCAGCCCACCGAAGGTGCTGGCCGGCCGGGCTTGCTTGCGTCGGTCATGGCAACCTGGACCTGTCTGAAGGCGGCGGCTGGAGCTCTTGACACTGCACCAAGCTACCTGCAACCCACCACGAATCCGGCGATCTTTCTGCAAACCACCACTCAACAACACCGACGACACACGAGCTCAATTCAGCAATCCAATTCGAACCCACCATATCCGATTCGACGTCAAATCAATCAGTCAGGATGGCTCAGGGCGAATCGGCGAGAGTGCAGGAGGCACAGAAGGTGGCCAAGACAGATCCCAGAAAGGCAGAGCAGCTCTACAAGGAAATCATCTCTCAGCCCCCTTCCTCCGCAACCTCCGATGCTGCGGTAAAGGAGTACGAGACGGCGTTGCTTGGTTTGGGAGAGTTGTATCGGGATGAGAAGTGAGCCCCTCCTTGGTCCGGTGATGACATCGTGGGGGCCCCATGTTTGCTAACAACCCGCTTAGGAAGACGCAGGAGCTCGTCGACCTGATCACAAAAAGCCGGACAACCCTGTCTTCATTCGCCAAGGCAAAGACAGCAAAGCTCGGTATGGATTCAATTTGATGTTCTTCCCAGCTGTGAAAGAACGGCGTGACTAACTAGGACCCCTCCAGTCCGCTCCCTGCTTGACCTCTTCGAGAAGATTGAGGGCAGTACCGATATCCAGATCGCAGTTACCAAGTCATGTATAGAATGGGCAACTTCGGAGCGCCGCAGCTTCCTGCGCCAGAACCTCGAGACCCGCCTGGTCGCTCTCCTCATGCAGAAGCAATCCTACTACGACGCACTCACACTCATCAACGGTCTCCTCCGCGAGCTCAAGCGCCTGGACGACAAGCTTGTCCTCGTCGAAGTCCAGCTCCTCGAGTCGCGCGTCTACCACGCCCTCGGCAACATCCCCAAAGCCCGCGCCGCCCTCACCAGCGCCCGCACGAGCGCCGCCTCCGTCTACACCCCGCCTCTTCTTCAAGCCCACCTCGATATGCAGAGCGGTATGCTCCACGCCGAAGACAAAGACTTCAACACCGCCTTCTCCTACTTCATCGAGGCCCTCGATGGCTACCACACCCAGGACGAGTCAGTCAAGGCCACTGCCGCTCTCCAGTACATGCTTCTGTGCAAGATCATGTTGAACTTGGCCGACGACGTCAACAACCTGATGACGTCCAAGCAGGCACAGAAGTACGCCAGCAAGAACCTCGAAGCTATGAAGGCCGTTGCCCGTGCGCACTCAAACCGGTCCTTGGAGGAGTACGAGCAGGCCCTTCAGTCTTACCGTGAGCAGCTCGGCAGCGACGCCTTCATCCGCAACCACCTGCGACGTCTGTACGACGCCATGTTGGAACAAAACCTTATCAAGGTCATCGAGCCGTTCTCCCGTGTCGAGATCAGCCACATCGCAAAGATGGTTGGCCTCGACACGCAACAGGTGGAGCGCAAGCTCTCTCAGATGATCCTGGACAAGGTCATCATCGGTGTGTTGGACCAGGGCGCGGGATGCCTCATCATCTTCGACGAGACTGAGCGCGACAGCGCATACGACCACGCCCTGGCTACGGTTGAGAAGCTGAGCAGCGTGGTGGATGTTCTCTACACCAACCAGGCCTCTATGCTCGAGTAGATGACAAAGGCTGGCGTCCAGGGTTGGCAAAGCGGAATGGATTTGGGACTGTACTATTACCATAGACACGAATGCCGGCGGTGCATGAGACAGAAATTCATTCTGATGAAGTGGTATCCTAACAGTTTTGCGGGCGAGGTGCCCGAGTGACCAATGAAGACAAGAAACAAAAATCAAACATAACGATGCCCTGTGACGCCCAGCCTCCCAAACCTCCCCCTTATAAACGTGGTGAGAGCTTGTATACACACTCATTAAGCATGAGACTGTCGTGAAAATCATATGCCCTGCAACACTAAGCAGGACACTTTCCCAAATTGAAAACGCCCAATATGCACACGCGCACTTCCCCAATCACCGTCATGAATACGCATGCACACCATTTACGAAAACCGAACCGAAGGAGCCTTGGGAGCCTTCCCCTGCCTCCTAAGCTCCTCCCCAACAATGAGCGAAAACACCCTCTTGGCGAGCGCCTCCTCGCTCCACACGCCCACCTCGGCCTGGAACGCGTCCACGACGTCGAGGTGCCACTGCTCCAGCTTCAAGCTGGCGCCGTGCGAGTTGACGGACCGGCCGAGTAGCCAGGCCGACTTGCTGGTGAAGTCGTCGGGGAACTCAAAGTCAAAGGCGCCCTCGCGGCGTAGCTGGATGATGTCGTCTAGGAGCAGCCAGTGGTCGCGCGACCACATTGTCTGCGACAGACGCTGGGGTTCTTGCTCTTCGACGAGTGCTGATTTTTGGACATCGTTCATTAATTGTGGTGCGTCGGTCATGGAGACATCCATGTCCCCGTTCATCTCCTCGTCTTCCTCAACGACGGTGGCTTCAGCACCGGCAACATCACCATTCTCCTTGTCTTCCTCCTCCATAATGGCAGCGATGCGCTGCTGCTGCTGTTGCTGCGCAGCAGCGGCGCTACCGCTAGAACTAGCAGACAACCGCCGCTCCGCGCGGACCTGGGCTTGCGCGAGGGGCGAGAGGACGCTGCTTGTGAACTCGACGACGCGGCCCGGCGTGCGGGGCTTCAGCGGGGATCGCAGGCACGACTTTGTCGGCGACATGTTCCTGTCGGGCAACGGCCGGAGGACGCGGGCGCGCTGCTCCGACTCGGACTCTGACACCGACTTGGACTCGGCTGCAGTGGGCGAGCTTTCTGCAATGGCGGAGGCACTACTCTCCTGCCACTTCTGGATGTCGGCGCGCGTGAGCTGCATCCGCACCGGTGTCAACGAAGGCACCGGCGCCGCCGAGGGGGCCTTGCTGAAGAGGTTGTTATGGGTGTTCTTTTGGGCCCCCACGTTGGGCGTAAAGTTCTTCTTCTGCGGTACAGAGGGGAACGATACCTCGTCGGACATGTTGGGCTGAGAGTCTGGGATCTCGGACCGGTGTCTGGTGCTACTGCGGAGGTTCGTTGACGCGAACAGCTCGCGACGGGTATCCATGACCGACTTCCCGAGTACTGACGGCTTGATAGCCGATACGGGATCCGAGTAGTCGTACGTGTCAGCGATAGACTTGGTCGCCGAAGGCTTGGCGGGCGAGAACAAATCCGAACGCCCGCTGGCGGAAGGGGCAAAAGCCTTCTGCGGGACAGATGGGAACATGGAGTTTGTCTCGAGGCCGGCATCAAGCCGCTCAGGGCGCTGAGCAGCACCTTGGAGATTCAGTCGCTTCTTGTCCAAGACGTCCTTGACGCCCTCTGCTCCAGGTAGGAGATTGGGAGAAGAGAAGAAGGCAGCCAGATCCTTCTTGGCGGACGACCTCTGAGCAACCTCAAACGCCTTTTGAGGGATCTGCTTCTGACGGCTCTGTTGTTGAGAAAGCATCGAGAAGTCCTCGACTTCGCCGTCTACAAACTCTAACTTGCGGTTTCGTGACACCGCCGGCGTGAACAGCGTCTGCTTGGGGGTAGGCTCGGCGGGTTTCTGCCAGGGGCTAGGAAGAGCTGTGCGCCTGGGAGGGATAGACGGTGCTGATCGCTTCGCAAAAGACTGTTGACGGCCTCCGTTCGAAGCCGGACGCGATGCTTCTACCGCCCAAATATCATCATCCTCCTCCTCATCTTCTGCTCCGGGCTGCTCTTCCTCAACTTCAGTGTCCTCGGCACGATCTGGACTAACGAGACTAATCTCAAAACTCTGTCGCCGACTGTGCATTGACCTAGAAGCTGTGTTCGTACTAGAATGGAAGGAGCGCGACTGGGCGAAGGGCTGTTCGCGTGGGGCAGGAGCCTCTTGCATCCAGCTCATCTCATCGGCTTCATCGCCTGGAGCGACTTGAAGCGATCCCGACATTGAGAACGAGACCTCGGGTTCTTCTCTGGCGGGAGACGTCCGCATACTCTTACTCAAGGCCTCCATAAAGCTGGGCTGGCCAGTGTGGTCGTTCTCGGGGCCGAATGGGTCATCAAACGGCTCTCCTGTTAATTGCGGCGCAAGGGGTTGAGGCTGAGGTTGTGCTGCGGCGCGGGTCGGGGAACCAAAGAATTGAGCTCCGGCCTGAATCAAGTTGGACAATGGCTGAGTCCAGCTGCGAGTCGATTTCGCGGCAGACTGAGGCTGACTGCTGCTTGTCGTAGGCCTGAAAGGGCTACCGAGAGAGTTTTGGCGGGGAGGCGATGAAGCATCAGACGTGACGCTCTGCAGAGCTCGTCCAGCCCTCACAATAGGAGATAGCGTAGGGCGAATTCCGTTGTCTGGCGATGCTGCCCGAGGCGCCAAGAGGTTGACATCGGGCGATGGAATTGGGGACGAGACAGGGGCAACGGGCGTGATATACTCATTGGAGGCCGCAGGAAGACCAACCGTCAGGTCCGGGACCGGAAGATCAGAGTTTGCTTCTTCGGGCAACTGAGAATACGCAGCTGTCGGCGAACTTTGGGCCGCTTCGATGGTCTTGGCGTCTGACTGAGGGACAGGAACTTCGGCGGGAGAGGGCGTATCGTCTGGTGTCGGCATTCTGGCTGAGTCTGATCGAGTGTAAGAAACACTCGCAATAGATGGGGCTGCGGACTTGGGTGAACTCTTACGAGCCTCTTCCTCTGCCTCTTCTGCTTCTTCAGCCTCGGCGTCCTCTTCCCCCTGATCTTCTTCTGGTGCCTCGTTCATAATTGTTTCTTCGTATGCTTCATTCATGACGGTTTCTTCCTGTGCCTCGTTCATAACGGTGTCATCGTGTACTTCGTCCATCAAGGTCTCCTCGCGTGCCTGAGAGACATCGGCCTCTCGCCCAATCTCTTGCTCGATTTCGTGCTGCGTCTCAAGGTCATTGACTCCAGGTAGCTTCGGCCTCCCAGGCGTAGCAGCTTCCAAGTAGGCTTCCGGAATCTCAGAGAAGTCGTCTTCGTACATGACAGACATCTCCTCATTCACCATCGAGCTCCGCCGGATGCTCTTAGCACCGGGTGTCGCTGCAGCCAAAACTCTTGAGGGTACGCTGGAAAACGAGTTGTCAATCTGCGAGGTGTCCATTCTCGATTCCTCCAGCCTCGAGTTCTCCGCATCCATCTGCTTGACCTTGGACTCCATAAGCTGTCTGCTAAGCGGGATAGGCTTGCGTCGAGGACTGCTTCTAGCTCGGCCTGGCGACTGATACCCTCTGCTCGGTGACGTCTCCTTGAATGCGAGAGACGGAGGTGGGAGATCGGGACGAGGCAACGACGGAAGGGCGACTGGAGATTCGATTTCTTCAGCCTCTGTGGCCACGATGGGGTCCACATGCGCTTCATTCTCCTTCTGCAACTGAACCTCCTCCTCTTGAGCTGGAGGATTTTGTACTGGCGAGGATTGCTTGGCGGGGATACTTTCGATCTCATCCTCATCATCGTCAACATGCAGGGCACCGCTTCGCCTTAAAGTCTCGAGGGTCTGGTTGACGATCAAGCCAGTCTCTTCACCGACATCTTCTGAGCGAAGGTCGTGCATGCTCATGTGGCCCCTCATGGAGGGGATAGAGTTGGCGAAAATCATACTGAAATCTTCGCCTTGAGCAACAGTATCCTGGTCGCGGAGTTCGTCATTGCCATCGTTGTCGCCAATGAGTGATGAAATGTCGCTAGGCGCACCCGGTGCGAAATCGTATTCGTTGTATGCGGGTTCGTTCTCAGACTCTGAATGAAGCTGTTCAGATGGTGTCGGGCTCTTATCTTGCATATAAGCTGGTGTCGGACTGAGGGCGATTGGGTTGTCTTGTGTTGATGCGCGCGGTGTTGCTTGGTCTGACATTGTTTGCATCCAGATATCTGGTTCGGATTCCGGCATCGGGTTCGTGGGGAGCTCTCGCCTTGGGGTAGGATCGTCTACAATCATGTCTTCCATGCTCGCTGCGAGACCGTCGTCAGAAGGCGCCACGCCATCAAGGTCGATATCGTCCTCGACCGTTTCCACAGGTTGATCGGAAAACTCGACGCGCTTTGGGCGGCCGCGACGCCGGGTTGTGCTGGGGGGTATCGTAGAGGGCGCCGGGTCTTGGGAAACTTCGCGCGGTTGACGACTGGTGGCCCGTCTGGGACGGGTTGTTGATCTCGGTGTGCCTTGAATGGTGATATCGGTTTCTAAGCCATCTGAATCGGTAATGGTCTTGACTCTGCGGACTTGTCTTGGTGTCTTTCGTGGAGAAGCTGTGGCCCTCCTCTTCGTCGCCGTACCGGTCTTAGGCGTTCCGGCGGATTTGGGAGGTCGACCTCTCCGCGCGGGTGTCTTGACGGCCGTGTTCTTCCTATCACCAGCCAGAGGAACTGTTGTTGTGTATGCGCCGCGGCTAAGGGTGGGTGTGTCTGCGTTGAACAATCTGCGCCCAACATTCCCGACACCGACATTCTCGTAATCGCCCTCGGCTTCAACGGTCACTAGCAGCCGTTTCGGCTGACGGTCGTCGCCAACCTCGAGCTCAAACATTTGCTTTCTAGGCGAAGTGCTACTGCCGCCGAGGGAGAATAGACGTTGTGATCTCTGACTTCGAGTTACGCGACGTGATGAAGGGTAGAGGGCGGAGGAGAC